GTCCTCTACGATCCTAAACATCTCCAATCGCGGAAATTCTCGTATGAAACAACTTGGTTCTATATGTGATATGCTTAATCCTTTTAAGTGTGAGACGATCTGTTCGATGTTTTTCGGTAAAACTGAACCTAAATGCAAAATTTCTAAAGCAGGAAATGGCATTTGTTCGAAATCTATGGTGTGACACATGGTGTAGCAGTCAATATGTAATTCTTTTAGTGTTTTGCTGGTGAATTTTACGATTGATTCGAATATTTCATCATTGTGTTCTTCATCTGATGTAGTTTGGAATTGCAGTCCTTGAATTGATGGTCCAAACGTATTCAGAAGTGCAATTGCCCGTGTTGAAGGTACACATATAGCCTCTTGTCGATACCTTTTAAACAGATACACCAATTTGAACTGCATTCGAAAACAGTTTTTTGCGCTTTTTTGAAATCGTTGACAAACTTCCGACATGTTGAGAAAATCTTCTAAACAAAATATGCGGCGAAAGATTTCGTCTACACAGTCATCGATCAGGACGTTCAGAATATGTTTCGGTGAATCATGTGCGGGTGGGTCCATATTTTCTCTGTGAAAATGGGTATATCTATAGGTTCGTGTTCTTGGTAGTGCAAATATATTTATTCTATTCAATAAAATATCGCATCAAGATTTGAAAAAATAAAATGCCATTGTTCAAGCACTAACACTCACGCTTTTAAATACAAACTGAATAATTCAGTTCACAGAATTCAACCACTGAATTGTGAACTATGTTACTATTGTTAACTATTCTGCACAATTTCAATTTGATATATTTCATATTTAATTCACTATAATCAATACAAAAATACAATTCATAAGGATATACTATGAGGTCTGTTTTTAATGAGACATGGCTACTTCTCAATACACACACACACCCGAACACTCACACATGCGCACAATGATGCAATAAAAATATCTACTTCAAATTGAAAATAGGCTTGATATTGTGCCTATTTTCAATTTGAAGTGCCATCTAGCGAGAGAGAAAATTCAAAAATATTGTTGTTATCAAATACTGGAGTAAATTCGTTTATACAAAAGATATCATCCTATCTGAATATTTTCATATATATTTAATAGTTCGAAGAATATTTGCAGAATCTTGGTGGAAAATATCAGTATATGAATAAACTTTGTATATATACAATATATGTTGTTCGTTAAACAACAGATTTTTACACGTACCAAATATTCCAATCAGCTTGAGTAGAAAAATCAGATATATATGATGCGTTCACCAAGCGGCTGTGCAGTATATACGTGTCTACATGTCTGTGATTAAAATAGGAATTTTTTAGAGCTACCGAATTTTTTTATCGTTGTCAACAATCACATCGGGCACATCGAATATTCCTCTATAATACAGTGCTTCCTTTGTCTTTTCGGTTTCACTTCGTGCTCGACTTGCTTTTCCATTCAGAAAGTAAACTGTTGTTCGCCGCGGGTTCCACTGTTCAAGCGTTGGCATATTGTAATAAATATATAACAATTTATTTTCGGTTTTAATTGCACAAGCTCTTGGTATCGCAAAAGAATTGATGATAATTCCAAATTGTTTCTTTTTGAGCAAGCTCAACCTCTTTGAGGAATACCTTTTCATCCTCTCCCACAACAATTTCTTCGTTTAATGCTTTTTTCCAGCCGCCTAACAATGGGTTTTGTTTCAAATCTTCGAGTGCATTTCGCAGCAAATTCAAGGGACGCACTAAACTAGCAATCGTTAAATCATTGCTTTGGAGTTTTTTATGGCATCGCTGGAAAATTCGTAATATATCCGTTAAAAACGCGAGCAATTCCAGGTTTCGTTCGGTTGTGAGATAATTGTAATATCCGGCAGTTTCAGCATAGTATGTGTCACTAGCAGTTGGTGATTTTATAATATCAGCATTTGGAACATTCAACCAAATAATGGTCATTTCAAGGTGAAAACAATAAAAAGTGAACAAAACCGCTGCATTTTATTTTGTGTAGTTAGAAATTGGGCCTAGGGGGAAAGAACTATTGGTATATTTACTTCATTGACACGTATTGACAAATATTCACAGGCATTTGCACTGCGTTCCGTAGTGTTATTGTTGTTGTTTTCTTCTGTTGCTTCGTCTCGTTCGTGGCGAGTAGGAATGACAGTTGCAAATACGCACATTTTATTGACCATATTTGCATGCACACACAAAAATAAGTGTATAGATAATTTACTTTACTATTTTTATTTGAAAATCTATCCAAATATTGCGATATCCATGAAAAAATTGTGTTTGCCAAAAAAAAATAATTGAAGTATTTAAATTTATATTCCTTATAAATACGCAACAACTGAGACGATTTAAATCGTCCGCGTCGATTTGCTGGCGACATGTCTGTTGCATAAATATATTTTGCTCGCTCTGTTCCTCGACCCTCATTCAGACACACACACAGTCTTTCTCTCTTTTCGCCGATTTTTTTCTTTCGCTTATACGCTGAATCATGTGCAGCGAGTATTTCTTTCACACGGCAATGCAATGTATTTATATTTTGGCGGACATTCTTTTCGGTCGATGGGATAACATTTTCGATAGCTTCACTATAAGTATCAAATACATCTTGTGCCAATTTTAATACTTTATCAGTTTGTGCATTCGTCAATGACATTAATATAATATTGTTTTTCAAGTTTTCAGTTGATTTTGAAATTTTTTCCAGATTGTTCTGATCTGTTGCTTTCAACACGAAACGATTTTGTGACATTTTGACAGGAAAACACAGAACAAAACTCAATGAAAACTGTAACTAAAGTAATGAACTATTTATTTGTGATATCAAGTAGATTTTTACACTAATTACCGCAATTGTAAACAACAATTGCACAAACAAAAACACAGTAATATTGGTTTGTTGTTGGATGCGTGATTCTATTTCAAACAGATTGTTTGACATTTCTTCACTGTGTGAGTGTCGCTTTAACGTTGAGTTGACATTTGACGCGAAACGATGTGCGAAAGAGAGAAAGAGTGTGTGTGTGTCTGAATGAGGGTCGAGCAACAGAGCGAGCAAAATATATTTATGCAACAGACATGTAGCCAGCAAATCGACGCGGACGATTTAAATCGTCTCAGTTGTTGCGTATTTATAAGGAATATAAATTTAAATACTTCAATTATTTTTTTTTGGCAAACACAATTTTTTCATGAATATCGCAATATTTGGATAGATTTCCAAATAAAAATAGTAAAGTAAATTATCTATATACTTATTTTTGTGTGTGTGCATTCGCAGCTAGTTATTCAGCGCATTGACACGCATTGACGCGTATTGATCCAAACTCGGTAGAATATGCGATTATTCACAATATTTCTATTTTCATTTACTCAGTTCTTTCCCCCTAGGCAAAAACGTATGGAAAACTTTCGAATATCAACTACCGAAATTCGAATTTAAAGCTGCATTTTTCATTTTAGAACTATCGGTTTCCGGTAGAACTACCAGCTGTTTCAATCACTGCTACATGTACACTGCTACTGTATGCAAACAAAATCACACAGACATAACAACTCTGAAGCAATGTTTCGTTTGGTGAACGCACATAACGCATCAATATCTGATATTTTTATTCAAGCCGATAGAAATGTTTGTTAGAGTGCTCTGAAAAATTGCCCGACCTGAATTAGCTGGAATAAAATCCTCTACAAGTATATGCAATAGAAGATGTAGATCTGTCCGTGGTGATAGTTGGGTGAGATATGTTATTAATGATCCAGATTCAGTGATGTAGCTGTATCGTTGTTCGTTTCTTCAATAAAACCAAGAAATCTCATTTCGAAGAACCATTTATTTAAATAGATTTTACAGTATCGAAATAATTATCATCTACGTGAATACATGCTCCTCGTTTGTCCGAGCCAGTGACGTATCGAACTTCTAACCATTCATTGTTCGTTACAACACCCTCTGGAATACACTTGCTCTTTTGATTTCCAAGTATAATCTCAACTCGGGTACGATTTCTGACCAGACACAAAACTGATTCATAGCTTTCTAAATTAAAGTCTAATATTCCAGTATAAAGTTCGAATTTCCTTAAATTTCCACCATGTTTCAACATATTTCCAATATTTAGGATTGGCATAGGGCTTTCATCGTAACACATCATCTCGATCGTCTCTAACGCAGTTTGTGTTCTAATCAAATTAGCCAACACTTCGTTTTCATTGAACAAATTTCTGTTTTTCATTTCATCAATATCTACATGTTTCAATGTCTTTATAGTCTTCAAATCAGAACATGGATCGATTGGCTGTCCTTCTATAATCAATAAATCGACTTTTATCTTTTCGATTGGCACCTCATTTTCAGCAAAAGTATTAATCATTATTTTGAACGAGGTCGTAGTATTCAATTGAATCTCAAGGTATTTGAGTTGGTTTAATGAGCCCAAATACGGTAGATTCGTATCTAGGAGGCTTGGTGTGCGTCTGAATCCCGATCCACTGACACTCAATTCGACAAGGTTCATTGAATTGTCACCAATGGCTTGCAATATCAATGGAGTCAATTTATTGCAATGAATCACAGCTAAACGTTGCAATTGAGGATTTAGCGACACGAACTCGCAAAACATATCGTCCGTTATATAATTTACATCATGAAAATAGTCCTCTACGATCCTAAACATCTCCAATCGCGGAAATTCTCGTATGAAACAACTTGGTTCTATATGTGATATGCTTAATCCTTTTAAGTGTGAGACGATCTGTTCGATGTTTTTCGGTAAAACTGAACCTAAATGCAAAATTTCTAAAGCAGGAAATGGCATTTGTTCGAAATCTATGGTGTGACACATGGTGTAGCAGTCAATATGTAATTCTTTTAGTGTTTTGCTGGTGAATTTTACGATTGATTCGAATATTTCATCATTGTGTTCTTCATCTGATGTAGTTTGGAATTGCAGTCCTTGAATTGATGGTCCAAACGTATTCAGAAGTGCAATTGCCCGTGTTGAAGGTACACATATAGCCTCTTGTCGATACCTTTTAAACAGATACACCAATTTGAACTGCATTCGAAAACAGTTTTTTGCGCTTTTTTGAAATCGTTGACAAACTTCCGACATGTTGAGAAAATCTTCTAAACAAAATATGCGGCGAAAGATTTCGTCTACACAGTCATCGATCAGGACGTTCAGAATATGTTTCGGTGAATCATGTGCGGGTGGGTCCATATTTTCTCTGTGAAAATGGGTATATCTATAGGTTCGTGTTCTTGGTAGTGCAAATATATTTATTCTATTCAATAAAATATCGCATCAAGATTTGAAAAAATAAAATGCCATTGTTCAAGCACTAACACTCACGCTTTTAAATACAA